GTGATTCTCTTGTCTCAGCCTCCCGAGTAGCTGGGAACACAGGCGCCCGCCACAACGCCTGGCTATGGAGTTTGGCTGGGGTCGGGTTTGAACCCACCACCCTAGATGTATGGGGCCGGCGCCCTACCCATTGAGCCACAGGCGCCTCACTCTTGTCTTGAGAAAAGGTCGCTTGGGGATTTCTTGAGTCGAGTCCCAGTTTGCGAAAACTCTGATGGAGTAATAGATGCAGAAAATTGAGAATTTTCGTCAGCGAGCAAAGCAGAGTCGAAATGAAAACTTACCCTATTCCATCGCGGTCGAGGTTTTAGAGAACCCAGGGTGAGGGAGTGAGGAGGTGGGGAGCTGGGAGGTGTAGGATGTTTGTATAATCAGAAATTGGCCAGTGCAGGGGACATTCTGCTTCTTAACAAGGAACATAAAGAAGAGGTGAAATTGTAATTGGGAAGAGGGGAGGGGAGGAAGGAGCAGTAAAATCTGAAAAATCTGAGAGATAGTCTGACATTGTGGGTTTATGCCTAGTGGATTTGTATATTGAAATGTTCCAGCCATGGCTGAAAGTGAAGCCTCTCCCTCTCCAGTGACTCAGAGCGCAGTTTCTATCACCAGCTCGTTCTGTAATCAGGATCTGAAATACTGACAAGTAGTAATGAGACACAAAAACTTCTCTCAGACTATGGAAGCAGAGGCTAAATATTACAGAAGTATATCATTTTGTAAAGCATTAAAGTGAGAATCTTCAATGTTGATGGATGGCCGGGGTTCATTTTCATTACTGTATAGTATTTCCTTGTAGTATATACTACAATTTATTTGAGTACAGCGACGTTACGGCCATCTCCAACTTCTTGCTATTGCAAAAAAAAAAAAAGTTCTTCTACAAGTATTTACCAAGACTATACTTAGGAGTAGAATTCGTGGGTTATTATTCTCAAGTTGGCTCGGCGCCTATAGCTCAACCAGCTAAGGCGCCAGCCACGTACACCTAAGGTGGCGGGTTCGAATCCCCAGCCCGGAC